TTTTATATTTTTATATATATATATAGAGATATAGTCAGAGAGAGATATATATTTTTTTATGTATATATATATATATATATATATATATATATATATATATATATATATATATATATATATATATATATATATATATATATTGATATCTATCCAAATTATAACTAAAATTATGAGAGGAGGTGGGTTGGGTATTTGTTTTTCACGTTGATGGCGTGGTACGAAAGTTTGATGAAAATAATTTTCTGGCATTTGTTGCGGGGTGTTTGTCTGTGTGAGTGCACATGTGTGTATCTCTCTTTCTCTCTCTCTCTCTTTCTCTCTTGCTCTTTTCCTATCTTGTTTTTATCTCTCTATCTCTAAATCAGATGAATACGGTGTTCGAGGACGACAGGGAGGTTGGTTGGCTGGTTGGTTGGTTGGCTAGCTGGCTGGCTGGCTGGCTGGTTGGCTGGCTGGCTGGCCGGCGTTTACCACTACAACAGCTGCGAAAAGAGTTAGAAGGGAACCCGGCAGAAGTCTGATTTTGTATAATATATTTGCTGGAACCGTGTGTTGTGAGTGCGGGTGTATGTGTGTGCGTGCGTGCGTGTGTGCGTGTAAAAATGATATAGACGATTGACAGATTGTTGGGCAGTTTGATGAATGTATCTGTTTACCATTTGCGTGGTGAGTAAATATAGAGAGGCGGTCGTATGTTCTCTTGGCTCCTACGCAATGTATATTTATTCGTTCCAACGTTCCTTCAATTGCAAAGTTTAAGTTTATATGTAACAATGTCGCAAACTTTGGTATTCAGCTTCGGTCATTTTTGAGGCTGAAAAAAGGAATAGTGCAATCCATCACCTTTTTGGGATTTCAGAGCAAAAATAATTTTTAGCCATAACTAGCAAAAAATTTAATTTGACCATCAAAGCTGTTGAAACATCTGAACTTCAACAAGATATTGAATGTTATCTCGATAAAAAATTGTTGCTTTTACATGAATTGCATACCTTTTTTAAAGACTGTTTTTCATTTTATAAAATGAATTTTTTTCCCCAATTTTTGGTATCCGGCGGTTGGCTTCAGTCGAATAGTTGATCAACTATTCGGTGCATTGCTATATAACACTATGTATTGTATACACATAAATCTAATGCAGACATACATACATACATACATACATACATACATACATACATACATACATACATACATACATACATACATACATACATACATACATACATACATACATACATACATGCATGCATGCATGCATGCATGTATACATACACATGGAAACCCATATAAGCAGGGCGGAAAATCAATCCGCCATTTGATAATGGAAAATGTTCCAATGTCTGTCTGGCTGAATGGATAGATGAATGAATGAATGAATGGATAGATGAATGAATGCTTGAAGGAATTAATTATTTAAAAATTAATGATATATGTACTTACTGACAATTTTCGCCAAATAGAAAAAGTTTTGATTTGTATTAAGCTACTGATATGGAGTTGGTATGTTATCTGTTTAAAAGGATTGATTAATTGATTGATTGATTGATCGACTAATTAAATGATTGATTGAATGAATCATTGATTGATTGGTTAGCCCATTGGTCGGCTGATTTAACTTATACTACTAAAGTAATTATTGAAAACGTGAGTTTTATTTTTGGATTACTCTGCAAAAAACATTTGGATATGTTCTTTCTACCAGCCGTCAACATTAACAACCAGCACATACGCAGCAAATACACGAAAATGTTAAACATCTATAAATGAAAAAACATAGAATTTAAATTCCTCGGCCTGCTGTTTTCATTTGGTCTGTTGATAGTTCTGCTTGTTTCAACAACCACAGACGAAAA